GAAACAAATAAAGAAAAACAAAGTTTCTAACTTTAATAACAATTCATAAATGTACACACACCTAACTATATAGTATTTTTAGTTAAATTGGTCCAGAACTAGAACTGATGAAAAACACTTTCACTCTGTGTTAAACCCCCGTAAGATAAATTAGGAAATAGTGTTAAACGATCGTCGAACACAATCGATCAACCCTGTATTAATATAACGTTTTATTGTAGCCTCTTAACAATATTATTAAAACTCCGTCTAAAGCCAGGAACTAATGCTTTAAGGAATTGTTTCACCCTTGACACGTTTTCACACTTTAATTAGAATGTAAAGTTTTTCGATCTTCTGCATCATTTACTATCGATCAATATTTCTATTAGTGAATACACTTCAAATGTACTTTTAAAAATCAAGTGCAAAATAAGGTGAAAAGGGAGGATGAAACTATTACTGTAATATATAAAATCTGTGTTAACAGAGACTTTGGGGTTGATACATATGGGAGCATCACTATCCAGTGTCTGAACACTGCGCACATTATGACATACAACGCGTATATTTAATTTAGCCCGTTTGCACGCAGAAATTATATCGTATTTTGAGATTGGCCTCAGCTCTTGTTCGCTTTAAATTCCTCTAATATTAATTATTAATATCACGAGTTTTGCTTCAATAGATCTTCTGTGTTATGGCAATATAGATAGGTACTCATCAATATTTAATACGCTGGATGCAGATTCTCCCCACAATCTTTTCTAACGCTTACCACAGCTTTTGCATTATTAACTACAACACTGAGCTATAAGACATTATTTATTTTGCGTAATTCGTTACGTAATATTTTTAATAAATATAGCAATATATATATATGTATATGTATATGTATATATGACGATCGACCATCATCGATCGTCATAATAAATGTTTCTTTTTATGAAGAATATATATACAAATATATTATTGTCTTCGTATTTTACGATAGACAATTTAAAATCATTACTTTTAAAATAACATTGATAAAATCTATAAATATACAAATAAAATAACACTCATATAAAATATTCTAAATAAAATTTTATAAACAGTGATAACTTTTAAACAAACAAAGAAATAAAATGTTTAGCCATTTCGAATGCATTTAACACCAACACATGATGAGAATATATCGACAAATCGATATCGTTTATGTAGAACTCGCAAATAGTTCTATTAAGTAAACTTTTCATTACGCAAGATAAGTTGTTTTTATATCTCATAGCTCAAGTTTTTCGATATATATCTATATGTATAATATAGGAATGTTCCATTTTTTTCTTGTACGCCGCCTCTATTATCAGAGACAAAATTGTACCGTATTTCACATAATTTTAACCGTATACATCTCTTACAAACATAATATTGCCAGTGTACATATTTTTGCAAACTGGAATGACGAAATATATATATATCCATATGTACGCGTGTATGTATATATCTACCTACGTGTTTTATATATAAGTCTCTTCATAATATAAATAAAAATTCGCAGTGTGAGCACATTCAGAGGTTGAACATCACTCGTAAAACTTTGTACAAATAAAAGACCGAAGTCTCTTTTCAAAGTGTAAATAATCGAACGCGTATTATTTAATTCTGTTAAAATCTTTGGCTAAAACATCTAATTGCAAGCTAGAAGTATCCCTTGGGTAACTCTTTGTTAATGATGACCCACATCGGTTGACTTAGCTAAAATCAAACTTTTCAAAGCGTTCATTATCTAGCAATTAAAATTTCGATGTCGACGCCATTAACAGTAGCAGCTGAATCGCTTGCGATCTAACTGCGATATAAAATATTCGATTTTTTGTTATCGTCGCGGATAACCTTTGTAAAAAGATTGCACTGTAAGCCGTTATTATAATCACAGTAACTGTATATATAGGCTTGTAATTTAAATAACTTACTCGCGATTATTTATCAACGTCATTTTCTTTCCTTGGACTTTGTTGTGTGCAGTCAAAACATTTTGTGACATCCTGAGGAAAAATTAACATATAATATTTATAATATTCAATATGGCGAGTTGTTATTGTACCGTTATATATTGATAATAATTAGTAATACTAATAATGAATAATAACAAAACTATATGGTGCAATATATACACGTAAGAACCGTTTATAAAAACAAACAGTTTATAACTCTTTATTACTTATTCAGTAAAGAGAATGCAACGTACCTGTACCGCAATTTGTAACGGCGTTAATTCACCTATAGAGCAATCACTTCGTACAACATTCGCTGGAACTAACTTGGGACAAGGTTTGCCCGTGAAGAGCGTGAACAGTGCGTGAATGCTTCTACGTTGTGTCAATTCTATGTGACGGTGTTCGTATCCAGCCAAGTGCCGTTCATGCTGCGATGGATTATCGAACCATATTTCGCACAAATTACAGTATCGTTTATCTTTTATCGTTGCCTGCGAAAATAAACGGGATGAGCAAAGAATACTTCAAATTCATGAGAGAAAAGAAAGTATCTCAAAGAAAAGATCTCTTATATAATAATTTAAATAAGATAATCTTTCTCTCACCTTTTCGTGATAAGCTAATTGAGTTATGAGATCGACGACAGACATTTCGCTCTTCTTAATGTCCTTTATATTGCTTTCAACTTTAATGTTTGACGTTATAACTTTATCGTCTATCAACTTTGATTCCGCTACATCGGGATCTTCGCTGTCCTGAATCGTGATGACCGGGGGCGATCTAGAACTCTCTCTATCTGAATTCGTATCGAAGTTTACATTGACCTCGGGCTCTAATATCGGCATGTTGTCTTCTTTGGACTTGATTTCTTTCGCGTTATTTGTGTTATTCTCCTGATTGGTGGATCTTGATATCTTAAGAATTTTATAAGACGACAACCGATTCTTCTCTTTCTTTTGCTGTGGATCCTGCGAACGAGGAACATCGTCGCATTGATCGATTACATTCTTTCTTTTCTCGTTTAAATGTACACTACGAGTTAGGCTCTCATTTGATACAGCTTGCTCGATCTGTTTAGACGTTTTCAAGGATGTTATATTGCATTTGGATGTGTCCTTTATCGTGTCCTTGAAATCTGTTTCGTTTTTCTCAAATGATCTCGATTTCTTCTTCATGAAGGAACTTTTGCTTGATTTGGAATGTTTCTTATCAGACTTCTCGGTATTAGATATTTTCTCAGTCTTGTTACATTTACTTGCCACGGGAGAGCCCTTCTGAGACGCAACGTCACTACGACAGCTTTGAGCGTCACTCGAAGGCACCTCCGAGATTTGGTTAATATCAAAACTCGAACCCTGTTTCTTCTCCGCAGCTGTCTTCGGTCTTGTGTTACCTACCGCGTTGCCCTGTACATCGTATCTGGATTTCGAAAGGCACTTTTTCAAAGTCTCCTTGGCCGCCAAAACTTCTTTTATCAAGGAGTCGTTGCAGCAGAAGTTTTCTCTCGTCGTAGCGAAACCCATTACTCTGCAACAAGGGGCTTTTGAAGAGATCTCTTTGGCAGAGTTAGCCGAACTGTTCTCCAATTCAGATCTATCATCGCTGCCAATTTCCACGAAACTTTTATCTTTCTCAAGCGAATTCTTGCCGTGAGAGGAAGCCTCAGATTTGTAACGTCCTAATTTTGCAGTTTGATCACTAGACTCTTCGTAAGTAGAATTCACACGACGTGAATTGTAACAGGTGACAGGATCAAGTTTCGGCATAGATATATCTAGTAGATCGGTATTGCTATTGTCCGCGATCTCTAACTCCAGTTCGAACTGAGTCGGAATCGCATCCTCCGAATATAATTGATCGTTATCACCATCCTCCATTATATTCCTCTCCAACTCGCTACGACTCGCATCCGGTGAAGCAGGTAGGATCTCTATAGTTGACTGGCTCTCGTCCGAAGATTCAACTTTAATGACGGTGCTGTTATTCATTTCGAAATTATCTGATATACTCACAGAGTCGTTAAGCAAGTCCATGTCATCTTGCACAGTGCAATCGTTATCTATGTCGTTGAAATTACTCAGACGTTCGTTCTTTATCACAATTTTGTCGCTGTCCTTGCTCAAGAAATGATCGTCATCTTGCTCTTTTCTCCGCTCCTTGTCAGTTCGTAAATTGATTTCTTCAGGCGATGTTTCACTCGGACCGGGCAATTTCATGAAACAAGTTTCTGTCTTCATTCTGCCTTCAACTGTTGCCTTCAACTCCTTTAATGCGAGCTTGAAGCTTGAGCTGTTTAGGTGTTTGACGGGAATATTCTTCTGGCCAAGTTTATTTGAAATTATATCTTCGTCCGCTTTCAACGCTTGTTTGCTATTGGTATCAAAACTATCAGTCTTGTGTTTATCATATTGAGAGGTACCTTTCTGTGAGTTGGTTCTTTCAGATGACTGATTGGTTTCTTTATCGGACGAAGTAATATCCACTTCCGATCGTGGATTATTATCACGAGATCTTGATCTACGTTTATTGTCCTTTCGACATTCGTTGGTTGATTTGTGACCTCTGGATGATGAATACTTCTTCGGTGTGATGCACGTCTTGGTATCTGTAGAATCTGTTTTTTTAGACGCAAAATTTACATCGACTCTTGACGCGTCATTAATTTTTCTACAGTCGTAATCTGACATTCTTCTCTGCTTACACTTAACCGGAAGTAGATCGGACGTTGAGTTCGACCTAGACAGTTTATAATCACCTTGCTTTTTTTGACGATGGCTATCCTTGCGACTTACAGACATTTTCTCGATAGCTCGTAACGTAATTGGAGACAAAGTTAACTTCAAATCTTTCACCATGCTGTCCAGGATTCTGTATCTTTCCAGCTTAACCTCCGGTTGCCACTTTGCACTCTTCGCAATGACGTTCTTGTAGCCCTTGCTCAGCTCGCATTTGAATTCCGCGCTAGCCGATGTTCTCTTGATAATTACCTTGGGAATCTTCTCAGAAATGCATACCACGGGATTCTTCTTCGTTTCGCATTCTGACGCATTTGTTTGCATTGATTCGGAGGAGTTGCTACGTCTCGTACGATGTTCCGCATCATCACGTTCCGATCTTCTGCACTTTTTGAGCGGTACTTCCGAATAATGGCTCGAGAATTGTCTCTTCCGTGTCACTTCTGGAGATGACGATCTGTTCCTTTCCTGTTTCTTCAATTTCAGTATAGGTATCTTTTCCTCGTATCTTCCCGCATCTCTCGACTCTTGAGAAGTCATACTGTTGCAATCCAAATTGTCCGCCAGATCAGATCTTGAGCTACTCTTTATTTTAACCTTTGGTATGGTTTTCTTAACGTTTTTGCGTTTGATACAAACTTCCTCGTCATCATCGGCTCTCACTATTTTATTGGAGTGCTTCTCATCTAATTTAATTTTCATTTTGGGAATTTTATTCCTATAACTATTTGACTCGTGTAGAGAACTTTCGGAACTGCAAGTACATATATCATCAATCGTAAGCGAAGTTCGATTCAAGATACTTGCAGGAATTTCTTCGTGAACCGCCTCGATAGACGGAGTTCCCGGGCGTGATCTCGCGTTCCTGATGATCATCTTTGGTATCTTCGGTTGACAAACTGACTTGTTAGATGTACTATCCTGTGTCACGAAAGAGGAACCCACCTTCGTAACGAACTTTGAGCTAGTCTCACTTTTCTTGATAACGAGTTTAGGGATCATCTTTGTGTTAGCGTTGCAATCTGTCGCGCGCAAATACGCTATCTTTTCATAGCTATTGGAAGAAATTTGATTCTGCTCTTTGTCTTCGTTGTTACTCGATGTTGCTTTAGATTCCTCGATGATTGCTTTAGATTCTTCGGTCGCTGCTTTAGATTCCTCGATCGTTGCTTTAGATTCCTCAATCGCTGCTTCAGATGCCTCGACCGTTGATATGGATTCGTTGGTCGCCTTGTTTTCAATTTCAGTAGTTACCTCCGTTACGTCTTGAGACTCTTTAGTAGCAGATATCCTCGAGAGAGACAGGTGGTCTAACAACGAATTATCCTGGAGTGAGTTAACCGCGCCCGTAAAATCGATCGATTCATTGATGTTGCACAAACGATTGACAGCGTCTTCTTGGATTTGGCTTGTCTCCCACACCATCGGTACTATGCTGTCTTCCTCCGTGAAATCATGCTCGGGCATTTGCAACGTGCACCTATCCTCCACGTAAATTCCGCAATCAGAAGAATCTATGCACAGTAACTTGGAATCGATTATGTTGTCGTAATTCTTGGGAATCTCATTTGTCTCAGGTTCTTGACATTGCTTTTTGTCGCCTTTAATGATATTCTTGATGACGGTGAACTCTGATATGTTTTGTTCGTGCCTCTCGCTTGGGAATAAGTCGCATATGTTCTTTTCCGTTCGTAGGTTCAAAGCGGTGGACGTAGATATTATTGTGGAACAAGTATCCACTTCGTCATTTCCTCGATTCTTCAATGAAACTTCAGCTTTTTGTCGATCGATCTCCGAAATTTCTGATTGCTGCTTGTTGCCTTCCTCCGCAAGCGTTTGTTCGATGAATGTAACGTTAGATGGATTTTGCAAGGCATTCGGTTCGTCTTCTTTAGATATAGTAGTATCTCCTCTATCACACATGTCTTTCTTATCTGCTTGATCGAAAGTAATCTCAGTCGAAACATTCGATTCCGTAAGCGTAGTCTTTTCCTTATCTTTGTGATCGATCGAAGCTGATAAAACTGGTTGATATATAGTTTCCTGATTCACAGAGTCTGAATCATTTTTCATTGAATCATTAATTTCATTATCTCGTTCATTCAAAGCAAGCGTGGATTCTTTTACAATTTCCATATTTTTTGGTTCGTCAAGTGAGTCCTTAGATTCGACGTTTAATTTAGAAGGACTTGCGACTTTGGCAGAATCTTCATTCGAAATTTCTTTCGTATTTGCAACTTCAGCATCGAGTTTATCTTTCTTTGGAGAGACAGAACGATCGCAATGAAGATGCGAATCGTCTTCCACTGACTGTTCCGTCGAGGCTTCCTTGTTTTTCTCGTAGCTCGTAGAACTTTGGTTTCCTTCTGGATCGTGTATTTTCTCATCCGTCAATTTAGGAGAATCACGCGATCGTACCTTTTCAACGACTCCGATTGCGCTGGATTCGTTTCCATCAAACTGAGATTCTTGCTTTTTTGTGTGTTCATCGTTATTTTGCGTACTCAACGACGCATTAATATTAAGTATGCTTACCGGTTTATCAATAACATCTGTTGACGCATTCTTCTGATTATTACATTCATTTTCTTGCTCATTGCATAAAGCAGCGTTCGATGATTCGTATCGCAAATCGTCATCCTGAATCGAACGTAGATCGTCGATGTAGTTGCATGTTGTGTGATGCAACGTTGACTCATTCATCACGTTGCAATTCGCTTTATGAATGCCGTTGTCGGAAGAGTCTTGCTCCGCAGGTAGAAACGGGAAGGTATCCAATCGTTTCTGCGCGGCGAATATATCACTAAAATTCAGTTCTTTAACATTACCGCTGTTTCTCCTATCGATGTGGGAAGAATACGACTTAATTGACTCCATAGTCTCTTCCCAACATGCGGCCCTTGGTTCCAAAAATAAATTCGATTCGAACACGGAGCTTTCGTTGTATCCTTTCTCATGCTCGAGATTGTCCGCAAATACTTTCGTTTTACAATCTTTATTGATATTAGATGTAATGTTGGCTGGAGGTTCGGTACTGTCTAAGTTGTATTGTTTTTCGAGGAAGTCCAAATCTATGATATTTTTCTTATTATTAGCTTCTTTGCTCTCTTGATCGTTCTTGTTTGCGTATAACTTGTTTGCATCATCGTTAAAGAATTCTAAATGCGTACCTCGACTTTTCGCGCAGTTAGCATTTTTGTGAACAGCATTTTTATTTGAATAATCAACATGTATCACTGCAGACTTAGCGTCGGTAGGATCAATCTCCTTTTTCCTACCGGCGGTGGTAACATCGCGGTTTCTCTTGAATACCTTCCGCAACTTGGAGCAATTGTAATAATTGTACGGTGGAGATCTCGCGAAATACGGTTCGCGAGAGTTACCATAACCATCCTTCATGCGAGCTTCCATAAGTAGCTCGCGATACGTGAATCGAGGATTAGGACTATAAGTTATCTTTCCGTCTTTGGTGGTGTATACAGGAACTACGTTTAAATTCTCCAGCTCGTCCGCGCTAAAGAAGGTCGGGTTTACGTAACCGCTGGTGGTTTCATACAGATCAAAGTTGCCAAATCTATCGCCGTCTCTCTTTGGCCTTTTCCATCTATCGGCACGTCTGTCGTCGACATCCGTACTTTCGTTCGGCGCAACGTCAAAATGATTGTAATCAAAATGCACGGGATTATTGTAACTGGCATCTTCCATGGTGGGTTCCACCGTACTTGAAGAAGTCGACGGAACCGCGTTTAATTTCGGTGCAGCATCATCTTGAAAATTTCTTGCGTTCCTGCATGGAGAAGCGACGGCTATTTGCTGATGTTCCTTCTTCTGCACATTGACAGTCTTCAATCCTAAGTATGGCAAATTGTCCGAAGAGGCTTTCAGTTCCTCGCTACCGAAGTTGGTAGTAGCGACTTTCCTTTCTGCATCTTGATGTACGCTTCTTCTTCTGCTCGTCGCGTGTTCCGATCTTGAAATTTTCAGAGCGCTCGATGTCAGCTCAGATTCGGTATTAACGGTGCCTGAAAGAGTATCATCTCGTAAAATTACATTGCAACTAGTCAATTCCGTACAAGTATTCGAAAACACACCGCTATCTTCGTATACGTCATTGATCAATTTTTGTGCCGACAATGAACTTCGTCTCTTCTTCGAAAGTGTCTCGTTGTTCGTATCTTCCTCGCATGCGATCACTGATTTGACCGTGTTGTTGTGATCTTCATGAGCTTCGTTATACGCAGACGCTTCTGTTAAAGCGGATGGTGATCGATTGCGCTTCTCATAATCCTGGCGATCCGCCTTATCGCAAATCATTTTCTTGTCCGTTATATTCGTTGAATTTGAGATCGTATTAGTCAAATGACCGATCGTCTCAGCGACGGCGTTCTTGATGTTCTCGTGCAGCAATTTCTCCGTTGTGTTCCGTTCCGTGCACGACACGTTTATCTCAATCTTGATCCCGTCAAGGGAACCGCTGCTCTTCGCCTCCTCCCTCGAATGTTGAGATCCTTTCTGGTGATCGTCATCCTTGAGTTTCAGATTGACGTTCGTAACTTGAATAGCAAAGTCAGGATTTTTATTCTTAGCTACGAACGTCTTCAAGATGTTCGCGTGTTTTCCTTCCTGTTCCTCGGACGACTTTGATCTCGCCACATCCTTCTGGCACAGCTGATTATCGCATGATGACTGCGACTCGGATCGTTCATCAGGATTCGACGAACGATGACACGTCTTACTCGCCGCATAATCAGAGACCTCTTGCGTATCCTTCCCCTTATCGTGGACTTTACTAACGCTGTGTGATTTGTACTTTATTCTTCTATATTCCTTTAGAAGCCGCATCCTTTCTCCACTATCGGTAATGCTAATGTTCTCGATCACTCTCGGTTTATTATGTGAATTGTCAAATCCTTTGGGATTTTCAACGGTACAGGATTTGTCCTTATGCGTTGCCGCTTCTTGAGTATGTTTATTGTGATGTACGATGGTTTCGCTGCACCTATCCTCTGTATTTTCCGACAAGCATCTCTTTTTATGAGAAATTGCCTGGTCACCCGAGACAGACTTCTTGCGATCCGCGAGTTTTGCATGCTGAGAATTCTTCGAGTCCGTCGCGTCAATTTTTGTTGATTTATTACTGTTGGCGCTCTTCTCCGTGGAAGAATCCTCGTTCGCGAACGATGCCTCGGCCTTCCTCAACTTATCGTTATCCAATGTCAGTTGTTTCGCGCTATGTGATGTAGGTGAATTACTTTTAACAATCTGCATCGTATCTTCTGCCCTGGAACTCCTCGGAGCAATGTCGTTTGTCAGTGATGAACTTACCCTACTCGTTGCCGTCTGACAGGTCATTTCGGCGTGTCTCCTTCCGGAATAATCATCCTGACCGCCATCTAACACAACGGGGTCGGGATTATTCGTGACATTCTTTGTCGTATTGTCCCCGTTCGTCGAATCGTTATACTGCAACGCGACCTTTGCATTCGTTTGTGTCTGTGATTTTGTATGAGCATCCGGACTCGTCGCTTGAGGTTCATTAGCGTGACGCTCGCTTAAATTTTTATAAGCCTGCACTGATTTATTCTGCGCTCCAGCTGACACAATCTTTAATTCATACTCGCCGGAGGTCAAAGTCATACGCATGCTAGTGGCCTCCACAGTTTCCGTTTCGTCAAGCGCAAATATCTTCTCGTTGTTTGCCGAAACGGAAGTTCCATTCAGATTCGCGTGCTCTTTACCATTTTTTATAAACGACGCAGATCCATTCTTATCAGTATTCGTGGAAAATTCAAATGTATCAAGAATAACATCATGACCGAGCATGTTGTTATCACCGCTGTTGTTTTTGAAATGATTCTCCGTCTGGTATTCACCTTCTAATGAATCAGCCGGTTTATTCCTGACGGTTTCCTCGCTGTTCAGATGATCGTAGGGCTCTCTTTTCGTCGGCGAC